TGTTATGTCAGAGAGCGATGGTACCCGATCGTTTTCAAATGTCTAGTACAGTAAAAAAAACTATGTTCTGATTAGTTTTATGGAGTTTCTGATATGTAATTTCGCGCACGCCTCATAGAACCATCAGACTACCACATATCCATCCCTGTAGGGCTGATGCCCGATGTGCAGCCGCAGAGCACTTAACGGGTTGCCGGGGCTCCGGGTCCTAGAGCTGACGTAGGAACGGAGTGGTTTTTAGTCTGTAAGATTCTGGCATATCCTTTCGCCTCAAACTTGCAGGAGAAGTCATTGGGTTATTGTCAATCCCAACCAAAAAAAAAAAATCCATAAAATTTCAGGTGTCAGTCGGCTCCTAGCATAGCCACAAGAGGAACAGAGAAGGTGACAAATGCATTGTACTCCTCCATCGTGACACGCCATAGGATAGAAAGATTATTTTATTACTACAAGTAAAGATAAGTCATTAATCATAATAATGAATGACACAGGTTTATATTAAAAGTGCTTAATGGTTTCTTAAATTCGTCACAGCACACCCTGGAGCGTTAATGGCGTCTTGAAGTTTTTATTAACTTTTGATAGACTATTAGGATTTAACTTATAGGGTAAAATGTTATTAAGATTATTACATTCTCAGTCATTGATACCTATAGTAAATTCGCTGCACAAAATTTGTATCTATATAACATCACGCCTTTTTATCCCCGAAGGGGTAGGCAGAGGTGTACATTACGGCACTTAATGCCACTGTACAATGTAACACCCACTTTTCACTATTTATGTTATGAGTTCCATGTAATAGGGGGTGAGCCTATTGCCATATACCGGGCACAATTCCAGACTCCGTGCTACTACTGAGTTTTTTTTAATCCAGTAGTACTTTGCCCAACCCGTAAATCGAACCTGAGACCCCTTGCCCGGCAGTCGCACTTGCGACCACTCGGCCAACGAGGCAGTCTGTATCTACTTTCAATTAGTATCTAGGTACCTACCCTTTTTTATACCTAACTAGATGTTGCCCGCTACTTCGTCCGCGTAAAATATGATTTCTGTTTTATCACATGGGATAAAAATATCATATCATCCAAGTTAGCCCATACCCTGCCTGTATACTCATCAAAATGCGTTCAGTAGTTTCAACGTTATTAACGGACCAACATTTAAACAAAGAAACTTTCATATTTATGATGTTAGTGTCATAGGTCGACGTTTGACCACCATCTAGCCTGATGGTAAGCGATGATGTGGCCGACGATGGAGCACGTCTACCTATGAGCAACCTGTTCACTCGGGACTTGAAGACACCCAACTTGTATTTATTTATTATGTACCCTTTGATAGATATGATTGTAAAAGTTGTGTAAGATGTAATGATCGGGCATGATCAGCTGGGGCATTAAACTACACAAGTTGATTATTTAAACATTTTAAACTTTGATTAATTGCCAGTAAAGGTCAAAATCTGTTATCGTTTTTTTAAGTTGTAAACATTTTAGATTTTAGTTATTTGTTAGTTTATAGTTACATAACATTAATATTTATTTAAGTTAATTTTAAGTTGTATAATATTTATTCATAAATATGTATGTTATGTGAAGTGTTAGAATTTGAAATGTTCTCTTCTCAAATCTGTTAACAAAGTGTCTTTTGTAGTCATTCTGAAATGATACTTTAGTTTTCATACTACCTACTAAGTACTAAGGACTGTTTTGCAAAGAAGTCCATCATATTATAAACATTCATAAAACAATGTTATCTTCAACTAAATTTCAAATTCTTGTTCGCAGTGAGACCACTCTGGGTCCGTCTTCAAGGTGGCAAGCGACCTCTTGTGGCTGGCCAGAGCACCGAGCTGGTCTGCCAAGCTGTGGGAGCCAGGCCGAAACCAACCATATCATGGTGGAAAGGAGGAACCAGGCTAAAAACTGTTAGAGAAACGGTAAGTCTAATATTTCGGGTTGTAATGAAGATTTTGACATGTTACCACGTAACACATGTTATATTACTAAGTTTAAAAAATATAGTGAATATTTCTCAATTCCTTTCTTCTTTCTTTCATTCAAATTAAACTGTCAAACACCGCGAGGACACCGGTGACCGCAACCTATTGTTCTTTAATTGTGTCTATAATGACGGTACTCAACGAGTTAATAAACATCACATAAAGGCTCGTACACGAAACTGCGATGCGATGCGAATTCGCACCGCAGAAAATTACGACTCAAATTGCTACAATGCAATTTCAACAATCAGCACAATAAAACAAAACACAACTTAATACCAAAACCAGACGTTTACATGATAAGTCCATCACAACATCACAGCATTCCAACTATACCAGCAATCATTGTTTACCTTGCATCCCATTTCACGCCAGATGGCCGTTCGAAACGATAAATACCAACTAGTGGTGCACTTTGGATAGTTTCGGCCGAAACTTGAAGTTTGATCGAAGCCGAAACTCGTCTCATTATATTCATATAGGGTAAAACTTTGCTGGACAACTCTGTTTCTTGTTTAGAGTTGTAGACAAGTATGTTGCCATGTACGTACGTATGATTATGTTGTGGTGTGTGTATATTATATTAAATCTAAATTACAATTTAGACACACATATTTACATCATAGCTAAGTATACATTAGAGAGCGGCAGAAGTCTGCTGACACTCTCAAAGCATAAAAGGGCGATATGATAACTAATGCAAGTTATGTTACCCAATGATGTAAAATAGCTCACAGCTTTCACGACAGCAATCTATTCACAACAACACTTAAAGAAACTCACTTGTTATTCGCACGACTTAGTTTCGGCTTTAGTACAAAAAGCCGACACGCCGAAACTTTTAAATTGGGACCACTCTAAAAGGGCAAGCGCCAAACAACATCATTCCGACTATAGCATTCTGATCGGATTTCTTTTGTTTTCTTTCTTTTAAAAGCCATTGAAACTGGGTATATCTTAATTAAGTTAGCTAAAGTAAAATGTCCTTTTAGATTAAGGTTTTAAGGTTTAATTCTAATTAATTTGCTCGTTTGTGTAACTGTTGATAATGGGTGTACCGTGTACTGTCTTGATTGCAAGTCGATTGTATTACAAAGGGATATACTTACGTAATTATTTGACGAGGAACTCTACTAGTTTCAAGCCATGCTAGAGGCACATATTCGTGAGCACCATTTCGCGACCCGCGACGCGCCGACTTTCGCGCTGCTACTGACTACTCGAGTCTGCAGGCTCAGCGCGCCCTCTGCTGTGATTCACGCGCACTTTCCTAAATCTAGCATGGCTTGAAACTAGTCGAGTTTCTCGTCAAATAATTACGTGAGTAAGCCGAAATCATAATAATATAAATTTAGTAAGTCTGTTAGTAAAAGAGATGTTAAGCTTGATTCATTAATTGGTTAAATTTTAAATGAAAGCGATCGGTTGCACTAAACCAAAAAGATACTAAAGAAAATGTATATAGGTACTAAAATAAAATATGATGTGAAAACTACAACCAAATTAAAATTATTGAAACATGAAATTGCAATTCAAACAGTGAATTAATTTTTTCATAAGTACTAAAATCGTTGGTGCTATCATTTTAAATTAAATTAATGATATTTATATTGTCATTGCAATTTATTTTATAGTATTAACGATATAGTTCCAATTTTAAGCATGATTTAAAATGAATGCAGAGCTCGAAATGTGATTTCCAGAAAGAGTTAATATATTTGTGTTAATACTAGGTTTTATCCTCGTTTTCGTCGAAAGCTGTAATAATATAATGATATTGTGCAACACTTCAGCCCGTCTGCTAAACTTTATCCAAATCTGTTCATCCATTATGGCGTGAAAGAGTAGTAAACGTCTAAATATCCTTACTTTTACATTTTTATTCAATAAGACCTTAATCAGGTTTATTTGCACTCGAACAACATAATTGATTCATCTAAACATAGAAACCAACGCCATCTCTTATTCTACACCAGTACTAAAAAGTGAAACTGACATAAACCCCAATAGATGTCACTACAATCTCGATGCCCTCATGTCAGGGAACCTAATTACCTAACATTACGACAATCTAGATTGACGTGGACAGCACAATGGTGGGCTGTCATTAAACTCGAGTTGTATATTGGAACCTTGAGGACAGAATCGGGAATCGAGAATCGGTAATGGTTTCGATTTGAATCGATTGATTGAATGGTAGGGTTGCGTTTGACGTGTTCCTTTTTGTCTGATTGCCGAGATACGCGAGGTGGTTATTTTGTAAAGGACATTTTCTTTGATGTTTTTGCGCTGATTTGCAAGTTGGTTTTTTCTCATCATCACGTGCAGAAATACATACGAAATACACCTTTAATTCTCCTAAAGAGTGACAGAATTACAATTTAAATTATTATATGATACGTCTACATTTTCCCGTTTGTTATTAGAGTTGCGCCTAAAAGGATTCGACATAATTATTGGCAATATATTAAACTTATAAAACAAATATGAATACTTCACAATTGTGACTCGAAATCTGAAAATTGTTCTCTATTAACACTATATCAAGGAAAACAACTGTCATCAACAGCCTATAAGTGCCTACTGCTGACCAAAGGCCTCTTAGCACACGGAGAAGGTTTGAGCATTAATCACCACCATTACTCAATGCAGGTTCACAATTTCAAACTTATAATTAAAAATTCGTAGTGAAAAATTGATAGTGAAAAGTGGGTGTTACTTCTGTGTACACCTCTGCCTACCCCTTCGGGGATAAAAGGCGCGATGTTATGTGTTGTTAAATAAAAATTAAAAGCTTAGGTTTGAGACACCACTGACAAACGGTGTCTAAATGATCTTAGAAAGTATATACAACTCTGAAAAAGGCACAATGGTACTTGCTGTTGGTAGGTTTCAAACCGGCACCCTCATGCATGAGAAGTCTTATACTTCCAGGCCACCACGACTATTTTTCAAGAACTGTCTTAATCTATACAAACCAATCTATTAAAACTTCTACTGACAGTATACAAGTTAGTTTATTCTGCCTACACTTCTGAATCGATAGGTCATTGTGATACGGTATCCCCATTGTGTACGATCCATATTGTCATAGTTTGAACAAAAGGATCCAATCAGAATAAAGTGAAGAACTATCTATGCTTTCAAATTTTAGTGGATTAAATTTTTTAATCGCCTTACCATGCCGTTGTCATTGGATGATGTTGCTAGCTCAAAAAAAAAAACGTATGAATATTGTACTACCAAATAAAAATATTCCTACACACTGATTCGATTGTCGTTTGAAAAGTAGACCTTTCCAATTTTTTTGAATTTATCATTAGGAAACTTGGAAACTTAAACTGAAAGTTTTAATTCATAAGATTGAAAAAATAACTGACTCGTTGGCCGAGTGGTCGCAAGTGCGACTGCCGGGCAACGAGTATTACTAGGTTTTAAAAAAAAATCTCAGTAGTAGCACGGGGTCTGGAATTGTGCCCGGTATATGGCAATAGGCTCACCCCCTATTACATGGGACTCATAACACAAATAGTGAAAAGTGGGTGTTAAATAGTACAGTGGCATTAAGAGCTGTAAATGCCTAATCCTTCGGAGATAAAAGTGATGAAAGGTTGGACGCTTTATAATTTAATCTATGGTACTTTTGTGTTATTGTCTTTGTGTTCTGTCATACGGTATTGTAATTGTTTCAAGTAATATATACATTTTTCATTGAGTTTATTCTCCAAATTGGCCTATATTTCATTTAACAAAAAGCCATGTTGTTATGTATCATTTTTATGTTTATTGAACCTCGATTCAGAACAGAATAATCTCATTTTGAAACAAGTGCTGTAACGGCTATATTATAATGTCCCTCTTTGTCCTCAGACCTCTACAGACGGTAACGTAACTAGCAGCATCTTGACGTTCGTGCCAACGATAGAAGATGCTGGCAGGGTGCTGTCCTGCAGAGCAGTGCAGCCCAGTCTACCACATTCTACGCACGAAGATGGATGGAAGATGGAAATACAACGTCAGTAACTTTATTTTAATGGATTGTTTTTAGGAATGCTTGCTTGATAGTTCGACGTTTGGTGACTATGTATCCAAGAAACTACTTTAGTATGCTATATTGAAGAGGTATTAGCAATTGCAGCTAATAGCATAATGAAACCCATAATGACTGCCTCGTTGGCCGAGTGGTCGCAAGTGCGACTGCCGGGCAAGAGGTTTCGATTCACGGGTCGGGCAAAGTATTACTGGGTTTTTAAAAAATATTCTCAGTAGTAGCACGGAGTTTGGAATTGTGCCCGGTATATGACAATAGGCTCACCCCCTATTACATGGGACTCATAACATAAATAGTGAAAAGTGGGTGTTACATTGTACAGTGGTATAATGTGCACTTCTGCCTACCCCTTCTGGGATAAAAGGCGTGATGTTATGTTATGTTTAATAGCACGAAGTCTGGAATTGTGCCTGATATATGGTAATCCACCACCCACCCACTATTAATAGTGAAAAGTGGGTGTTACATTGTACACTTGTACAGTGGCATTAAGTGTCGTAAATGGGCTTCTGCTTACACTTCTGCTTACCACTACGGGGATTAAAAGCGTGATGTTATGTTATGTAAAGCCCAAAATTTTGTAGCTATTTACCACGTGTCGAAGAAAAGCCGTTGTAATTTTTTACTGCATTTGACCGTCTTTGTTTTGCTCTTGCAAAAAAAAATACCTTTAATATTATGCCATTGAATAGAACCAGGTGAACAATGGACAGAAATAATGTATGTTAACTAAAACTTATTTTATTTCTATACAGATTTACCGGTAGCCAAACTGGAGCTGGGCGCTAACCTGGACGCCAGCAAGGTGGTGGAAGGATCAGATGTCTACCTGGACTGCAGAGTACGAGCCAACCCATGGCATAACCATGTCTACTTCACGCATAATGTAAGTATTCAATGCTCGGTTACAGGTCTACTCTTTACTCAGTTATAAACCTCTGATAATAAGACTGCTGGAACTGGTCTAAATGAAAAATTGTGGCAATTGGCAAAACTCATATTGTCCCTAACAAAGGATGAGAATCTAGAGACTTGTAGAATTATACTAAACTTCTTTAAGTCACGAGACTCAATTATTACAAAGTAATTATACTAAACTTAAAGTAGTTCAGTAACTTAAGTATAATTCTACTCTCTAGCAAAGAGACGAGAGTCTTCTTGTTTCTTCTTGGAAAAGTACCATGGCGGGTTTTGTTGATTAGAAGCAGCAGCTCCGACCATCAGGCTTTCTCCATTAAAAAATAAAATGTCAAAATCGTAAGCTTAATATGAAAGCCTTTGCTAACTCATGTTTTCTTTGCCAGGGTGTGGTAGTAAAACCAGGTCCTGGAGTCCTACTAGCCAACCAGAGCCTGGTGCTCCAGCGAGTGTCTAGAAAAGCGGCTGGTGCCTACGTGTGTTCAGCCAGAAACGCTTTGGGTGAAGGATCTTCGGAAAACCTCATTCTGGATGTGAAATGTAAGTAAAATAAGTTTATTTCCTAGGAAATGATGTTTTTAAGGTCCTAGAGATTATAAAATTAACTTATACATCCTTTAGGTTTTAAACAACAAATAATATATATAAATAATTAACTAAAAATCGCGGGTTAATCACGTAAATATACTGAGAAAAGCTCTACTAGTTTCGAACTACAGAGGGGTTCTTCCTCATGAGCAGCGTGCGCGGTCGCGGCGATGGAAGGCTGCGAACGATGCTCATCCCGCTTTTAGTTAATGTAGTATGACTCACGATAGTTATTATAAAAATTTATATGAATAATTGCAAGAACTGCCAAATTTTCCAAAACTAATATTAATTTATTGAAAACTAAAGTTTAACGCGGAAACCATCTCATATTTATGTTCCATAACTCGAAGAAATACTATAATTTATGTCTTTTCAGTTGTAAAGTATAAGTTTCCATGTTGCCTAGTTCTAGTGATAGTATCGATCTATATATAATATATCAACCAACTTTGTTGAATCCAAGATTTAAAATTTCCGTTACTTTGTGGAAAGTGTGCATTTATTTTTATAGTTGCCCTTTTTTATGACGAGATATAACCTTCAAGCCTTTTGGGAAGAAAGACTTAGGGAGTGTGGGATTCGTACTTCATTAAATCACCCCAGTGGCCACCCTCAGCATTTGTAAGAGGCACCGGGTCCTTAGAAAGAAAGAAAGAATGAAAAACTTTATTTCATACGCTAAAACAAGTGACACATACAGAATTTCCACATGAGTTTATAAATATCTACTAATGTCCCAAGTATGCGGTGAAATGGGACCAGTTCAGCATGTGCAAGACAGGGCTTTGCGCTGGTATTCTACTGGCCCTTTAAGTGACTCTTTCGAAGAGACCTGCTCCGGAGCTTCGTTGCCCCACAATAAGTCATTCTTTTGAGTCTTGAGAGCTTTACCTACTTAGGACTTTGCGTCCAGACCCGAAATAACATCTTTAGGTTTTGACATTTCTGACGCCATTTTGTTTATCTACAGTTGTGCCAACCTGCAAGTCTACACAACCGATCGTGGTGCGGGCAGCCAGAGGGGAGATCATTGAGATCGACTGTGATCTGGACGCTAATCCAAAGGTAAGTGTCAATTATGTTTTAAAAGGCGGTCTGCTTATTTGTCGTTTTTAGCAATCGATTTTAGACACATTTTGTGTTCATGAACTTTTGTTATAAAGTTCTGTAGTCAGTGAAGATGTTTGAATTTATTTCGTTATCCTTTTAAAATCACACGAAAGGTTTACCCAGCTGTGCTAAATAGGTATATCGAGGCAATGCATGCAATTGATACTGTCATAATGATCAAAATTAATGTCCAACACCCCATATATTGGTATATTGATTCTCTCGGGGCCGATTTTTCAATCATCAGTTAATAATAACTATACATGTACTTGCATTTGACAATTTTTAGTATGGAAGAATTGTCAAATACTCAATGATATTCCTCAGTTAAAATTTTTCTGGCGTTGGTTAAATCGGCCCTCGGTCGACTAGTGTTTTACCTTTTGGCTCATTGATAGCACAGCCAGTAAAAAATACATATTATTATACATTATATCAATTAACTTCAAAAGCAATGTCATATCGGATATTAAGTGTTAGAAAATTTTAGATAAAAGTCTAGGCCCTACATTTTCAAATTTGACATAGTCATCAAAGGTGCCACATTAAAAGAATATTAGGTATTCTTAAATTTTAATAAAACGCTGAGTAACCCATTAATTGTAGATTTACGTCGCCATTAGCCATGCTCGAATGTACATGGAGTGTGAACACAGAAGGTTCACTACATTAAATTCATAAGTTTTACACAAATTATTTTAGTGACATTGAAATGTGAGTAGTTTCGATAGTTCAGATAGTAGATAGTCAATAACTTAGCACCAATCTTTATAAGTATGGGAGAGCCATGCGTTGGCAAGAATAGGCCGGTTCGACCGGAGTGATACCACGGCCTCGCAGAAAAGCGACGTGATTCAATACTTGCGTTGTTTCGTCGCGTGAGTGAGGTTATGGAAGATCAAATAATCCCCCCCCCCCCAAATACCTGAATCCCCAATAATCAAATTCCTAATCCTCAAAAGGCCGGTAACGCACTTGTAACAACTTTTGTGTTTCAAGTGACATGGGCGACGCCGATTGCTTACCATCAGGTGATCCGTCTGCTCGTTTACCGGCTAATTCCATAAAATAAAATCTTAGCAAAAATATGAGTTTTAAAGGTACCCAATATCGTTATACCTTCTTCATAATTTACTCTATGGCTATCAAAGGCATCAAGAATCGAGTCTCAAGGTCTCAGGCCGAAGTTTAATGTAAAGAATAGCTTTGTAACCACCGCACCGTGGTGGCCTTCGACTACCCTTGACTTTCCTGTCTTTTATAACTGGTGACGTAATAATTTGGTAATATGGCAATAGACTCACCCCCAGTAATTTTTACTCCGGGAACGTGGGCAAAGCCATTATCATATACTTGTACAACAAACAACATAACAGGTAAAATACACCTTTGAATATTCAATATTACAAACTCACATAAACATACGACTGTCATATATCGTACATAATACGTTAATATTTTGAGATACTACCTCTATAAAACAACCAATTGCCTACTTAAACGACAAGAAACAAGCAATATCAATACATAGGTACATGTACATACCAATGATTTTCCCGTACATTAATATTAATATACACATCTTTCTTATTACTTGATTTTAATATCTTCGTACATAGTAGGTCTCCTTAGGGCTTGTTCAGATGAGTGAGAGAGGACAAAAAAATATTATGAATTGTGAAATTATATCTACGAAGAATTTAATCATCAACATCCCTTAAGTCTACTGCTGGCCTAGAGGGCTCGTCTACATAGTATGTAGGGGATGTAGTTCATACCCTTTTTTTAAGAGGGAAAATCATCCAATGACTTCTCCAACCCGGATGAAGAGGGATTGTCGGACTCTTACTGACTAAAAACCACCGCGTTCCTACTCCTGCACTTTGACCCGGAGACCCCGTTAAGTCTTCCGCGGCTCTGTATCGGCATCAGCTCCGTTGGGCCCCATCTGTGATGGTCTGATGGCTCCTTGAGGCACGCGCGGAACGCGACGCGCCGTACGCTCGGGCCTGGTTCTGGTCGGGCGGCGAGGTATATAGCTCATACCTGTATAAGTGAGTTCAAATCTTCAAGAAAAGAGCGTATTCCTTGTTAAAAGACCGGCAACGCACCTGTGACTGCTTTGCGGGTGTCTAAGGTCGGCGCTGACCATCAGGTGACCTGCGGGTTTGCCTCCTATTCCATAAAACAAATTTTTTGTCTGTACCCATTACATCACATCAAACATCAACAGCCTATAAGAGACCACTGCTGACCAAAGACCTCTTCGTACACGGAGAAGGTTTGAGCATTAATCACCACGGTTACTGAATGCGGGTAGGCAATTTCAAGCCTTTATAAGCCCAATTACAAATCCAGGTTTCCTCACGATGTTTTTCCTACGCCGTTTGTCAGTGGTGTCTAATAATCTTAGAAAGTACATATAACTCGGAAAAAGTCACATTAGTACTTGCCGTTGGTAGGTTTCGAAACTGCGTCCTCATGCATGAGGAGCGATCGTCTTAAACCTCCGGGCCACCACGACATTCGTCTGCACAGACCCTTAGAATAAGAATTCATATCTTAGCACCGGGAATTTTTGGTTTTTAATAACGATATGTTCAAATGTTGGTAGAAAACATTGTACCTATATGATGAGTTCAATGCTTAAAGCGCCTCTATGTTACTTGGGAAGGAATATCATCACATCTTTTATTATTAGTAAGAGAGAGAAATGTATCATTTACTTTATATATTTTCGCTGTCCAATCCTGACTTTGTGCTATGAGGAATTTCGGAAATTGTTCCTAGAACTGCCTCGTTGACCGTGTCGGGCAAAGTACTACTGGATTTAAAAAAAAAACATTTTCAGTAGTAGCACGGAGTCTGGAATTGTGGCCGGTATATGGCAGTAGGCTCACCTCCTATATAACATGGGACTCCGAACATAAATAGTGAAAAGTGGGTGTGACATTATATGTAAGTACAGTGGCAATGAGTGCCATAATGTGCACTTCTGACTTCTACCTACCCCTTTGGGAATAAAAGACGTGATTTTATACTTAGTATGTTTAAGTTCCTAGAGAGTGACATAACATCCCACTTTTAAATCTCAAAGATGACGAGTATGTATGCAGTTTTGATAGACAATGTTCAATAATAACAACCAATTTTTGCCAGTTATAATGTAATAAACAACCAATAGTACTTACCTAGGTATTTTACTCCACCCAGAACTCGAAACCTCCTCGAGATTCCTTATTCGACCATGCTTCCGACCACAGATAACAAGGTGAAAAGGTTCTTTATATTTTCTAAAATTAAATGCTGAAAACTTACGATACATCCCTGTTAAGAAACATATTTTTGAAACAATGACTCAGTATTTATTGTTCATAAATAAACCGTTAACCCATTTAGACCGATAATTATTTTCGTGAAAAATTTTAGTTATTTTAACTTATATTCATTAAGAGGGGTACAAACAACAATAAAAAAATATTTAAAAAAATATACAATTACTGGGGAGACGTAGGGGGGGTGTACCGTATCGGGTACAGTAGGACTATATGCATACAAATATACAAGATTTTCCAATTATCGAATTTATTTATTTTTTTGTGTGATACATATTAAAACATTCCGGGATAAGGTACAGATATTTTATTTTTTTTGTTCCTGCGGATAGCATTCAGTTTTGTGTACAGGATTTATGCCAACTGCATTGGAACACACTGAAACCATGCTATTATCGTACCACCTACAAATTATTACATCATCAGAGACGCGATAATCGTAGAAGCCTCTTTCCTTTTTTTTCTTCTATGTGTCTCAACAGGCAAATTATTTATATCGATGTTATCTTCCACACGAGTCTTCATCAGTTCGATCCTCATGGGCAGGGATACTGTCAGTATAGTGCTGGTAGTAAAAAAATATCTCTTCCCTGATTACTCATATCATCATCTTCTTCAAGAACTATTGCAATTTCGTGCAGTGTCAGTGGTCTGAAATAAAAATAAAATAAAATCAGGTTTAGATATAGTTATCTATTAGTATACTAGATAGTAGGTACAAGAAGATGTTGATGTTACATAAACCTACTGTACCATATGCGGTACACCTTCTTTACGACCAAATATATCTTACTAAACTAACCTTACCGAAAATTGTTTACATGTATAATATTTCTTTAGACCTACTCTGCAAAATAGTAACGAAAAATAATATTATTTACAATAAATAATATGGAACTTACCTTTTCGAAGTCATTGTATATATTTCCTGTAGTCCTAGCTGGGTGTCTTCGATAAAATTTTCAACGAAATTTGCATAAAAATACTGTTGTATTATTGTAAATGGAAAGCTAACACCCTGAACTAATTGTTACAATTAAAAGAATAAAATATTAATTAGTGGGTAGGCCAAAATATTTTTATAAACTTACTGTACCACATGTGGTACAGTAGGTCTATATGGGTTAAGTATTTAAACAACCATAAAATATCAGTATAAAATAAAACATTAAAACCACAAAACTTAATTTTCAACTTTAAATCGAACGGGAAAACGCACATTTTCGAATTGCTACGGAAAGTAAGCTTCATCAAATTTTATCAATATTGACATTTTCAAAATGGCCGCCGTACGGTAACATTGTTATTTTCAATTCCGCGTGTAAAAATATTACCGGACAGTTAGTTAAAATACTGCAAAAAGTTAAACTTGTATTTATTTTTACTACGAACGTAAGTTACTGGCTTTTTAACTGATAGTATGGTTTTAACTACGTTTTTTTATCAAGGGATGTTTCGCTGAACACATGAATCATTGTCGAAATGGTTTTATTTATATTTAATGTACACACGAACTGTACTTGTCATGGGTTTATTTTTTCTGTAGATAGGTATATTATATATTTTCCAAGCCAATAAAAAATATGTTTATGTTTTAAACTGAATTTGATGGCATACTTCGGCACAACTGCATATAAATGAACTAGTCTTGCGTGGTTTCAACCGCTGTTTGGCTCTTATTGGTCATAACGTGTTCCTCAATAAATGCACTATCCAACACAACGAGAATTATTCAAATCGGACTAGTAGTTTCGGAGATTAACGCGTTCAAACCAACAAACTCTTGAGCTTTATACATTAGTATATAGATTCTAATAGGGTAGATGCCTAATTTTTATTTAAGGTAATGTTCGTTTGGTAGATAATTTAAATCATTCACACATAAAATCATTAGACACGTACCTATTTTTTTGGTTTTTTTTTTGCAGAAACGAATACTTTCTGTCATATACTGATTTGAAATGTCGCGTGACGTCACTTCTATGTACGTTTTATACGTAGAAATGACATTTTAGCCCCCACTCCTAAACTTTGTTTCTCTGTTGTTATTATTATTTTATATATCTAAGTATTGTTATATTATACGACAACATAAAAAATACGTGTCTAATATTTATTCATTACCTAACTTACGGACTAATTATATTTTTAATTTTCATACCCTGTCATCATTCCAATTCTTCCGTCTGTGTAAAGATCAAGTCTATTGCCCTACAAACACTGATAATACAGAAAATGAGGCTAAAAGTTATGAACAATCTCAACAAACGGATAATATAAGAGCATACCTGGACAGTCCCAGCGCGCGTCTCTCATGAATAATATAATACTCTATCAGCGTAGATACATTACCTCGTATATTTTACCCTATACCTAGTCTTCTTAGCTATTCTGTGGATAGACAAAAACTACGTTTATTTTCCTTTCTGCTTGGCTGAGATTAAAAGACTATTTTTGGACGATTTCCTTTTATTTCATATTTTTGGTGCTAACATGGAGTCTTGAATTAACTCTAGTGTACGTATATGGCGCCAATCTCTTTAAATGGGGGGTGTTAAATTTATAGCATAACATAGTATAACATCGCGCGTTTTCATCCCCGGAAGGGTAGGCAGAGGTACATATTACGGCACTTAATGCCACTATACAATATAACACCCACTTTCCACATGTAATAGGGGGTGAGCCTATTGCCACATACTGGGCTCAATTCCAGTCTCCATGCTACTACTGAGATTTTTTTTAAAACCCCAGTAATACTTTGTCCGACACGGGAATCGAACCCGAGACCCTTTGCCCGGCAGTAGCATTTTACATTAATCAAATTATTTCAGTTCTATTCATTTTATTTGAGTTCTTACCAAACCCCTACGTGTAAAAATACCTCATAATTCAATATTAAACAACATCATCCCAACCGATGATTCACCATCCCTTTCTAACAGGGAAATAGAAAATCATTCGTCATCAATCCTATAAATAATTCACAATGGTTTATTTGAAAACACATTGATTTCAACGTCCAATGTTAATTGGTATCGCCGCCATTTTGAAAGTCCGTTACAACAGGCGCAAGCGGCCATTTTGATTATTTCAATTTGGAATTAACAACGTTCCTTTTTGTAATAATTGATGCGTGTTGACAAAAGCGTATTATTCAGTTTATTTGTCGTAATGAGTTCCAGTGTCTCATTTTAAATCGGAAATGAATATTTTGGGTGATGCATTGAACGATTGACGTAATGATGTTAAATGTAATTTATCTGTTCTTACTGTTAGTGATGTGGATGTTTTGTTTCTTTGTCTTTGCTGAACTCTTTTGTAACAACCTATGTTTTTCTTTGTTAAAGCCGTATGTAAAATTGTTATAACACACAACATACCTAAGTTATATTTGTGTAAAACTATTACATGGACCGAATGGGCCGGCTCGACCGGAGTGATACCACGGCCTCACAGAAAACCGACGTGAAACAACGCTTGCGTTGTGTTTCGTCGTGTGAGTGAGGTTACGGGAGGCCGAGTTACCCCCCTCCCTAGACCTCGTGTCTCGTAGAATCCCCGAATCCTCCACAATCCTCAAATTCCCAATTCCCAAAAGGCCGGTAACGCACTTGTAACGCCTTGGTGTTTCTAATGTCCATGGGCGACGCCGATTGCTTACCATCAGGTGATCTGTCTGCTCGTTTACCGGTTTATGCTATATAAAAAAAATAATATGTCGTCTTTGCTTAAACCTCTAATGAAATAGCATTATTTTAGTTATATTTCTGAAGAACTGAATCTTACAGATTATTTTATTAATTACCCTAATTTAATCAAAGTATCTCATTTTGCAATCTCGACTCTAACTAAGATTTAGACCATGATATTAATAGCAATGAAATCTTAGAAACGGAAACCATCCCAGAAGACTGGACCAAATCGACAATCATACTACTGCATAAGAAAGGAGACAAGAATGATATAGCAAACTATAGACCGATCAGTTTAATGTCCAATATTTATAAAATATTTTCTAAAATCATACACAAAGAATCACTTATATATTAGACGAAAACCAACCTAAGGAACAAGCTGGTTTCCGTAGTAAGTTTTCAACTATAGATCACATACACACTCTAAGACAGATAATACAGAAATATGGAGAGTATAATAAAACGTATTACATTGGATTTGTTGACTTTAATAAAGCATTCGATACATTAGAACACGAGTATATATGGGACGCTCTACAGAGGCAAGGAGTTCAAGCAAAATATATAAGAATAATTAAAAACGTTTATACAGCAAGCACTGCACAAGTTAAACTTGAATCTACGGGAGACGAGTTCCCTATTAAAAGAGGCGTACGCCAAGGCGATCCTATATCACCTAAATTATTTTCGGCAGTATTAGAGATGATCTTTAGAAACCTAAATTGGACCAAATAGGGTCTTAATATAAATGGCGAAAATCTCAACCATCTACGCTTCGCCGATGATTTGGTTGTGTTCTCCGAGGACGCTAGAACGCTGGGACTAATGTTGCAACAACTATCTGATGAAAGCGCCAAGGCCGGCTTGACAATGAACTTAACAAAAACTAAAATTATGACGAACGCTCAGGAAACAGTATACCACGAACAAATAACAGTAAATAACGAAGAAATAGAGTATGTAAAGGAATATATATATTTGGGCCAACTGATATCTACAGAGGATTGCATGAAAAAAGAAATAGAACGAAGAATAACGAATACCTGGAAACGGTTTTGGTCACTTAAAGAAATAATGAAAAATAAAGATATGCCAATGTCGGCAAAAAAGAAAGTGTATGAAATATGCATTATGCCATGTTTACTATACGGGTGCCAAACATGGGCATTAACTGAACTACTAGAACAAAAATTAAAAGTTTGTCAAAATACAATAGAAAGGAGCATATTAGGTATAAAAAGAAGAGACAGAATAAAACTGCAAGAAATTAAAAAGAAAACTAAATTTAAAAATGTACACACGGTCTACAGACAGCTTAAGTGGCGTTGGACGGGACATATGCTAAGGGAAAATAGAGACAAATGGACTAAGCTAGTGACAGAATGGTATCCAAGGGACAGTAAAAGAAGAAGAGGTAGACAAACGAAAAGATGGGAAGATGATATCAGGAAAATAGCTGGCCCAGTATGGACCCGTTTAGCTAGAGACAGGGATACATGGAAATCTTTAGAGGAGGCCTTTGTCGACAGACAAGCTGTTCCACAAAAACACCTAGTTGCCGATAGTTAAAAAGCAAGTAATAAAAATTTGTATGTTATAAAGTAGGCATGTTAAAGAAAATATGTAATAGTTGATAAGAAACAGCAATAAAGGCTATTTTATTATTTTTATTTTATTATTAATAGCATAAACACGTTCCATAATGTACGTATGTTTTGTCCACAGGAGTCAATGTCATACCATTGGTGGTTCAACAGTTCTGCTCACAGCAAACACGAGCTCACCACGTCACCGATGACCACCATAACCAATTTACCAGGTTAGTAATCAGTATCTATCTATTATTTCCTTCCAAAATATAAACATTTGCACGCTTCTTCATCTACCTATTCATTTCTTAATCAGGATCATTGTTTGTCTTATCTGACGTCATCTCACAAGAAACTTCCTTTTTTCTTATACATTGAAACTTGGTTAAGTGGGACCTGGATAAGTGAGAAACCTCCGTAACTGGAACTCTTGCTGAGGTCCCAACACTTTGGCACTGAATTACCTCTGTTAGTGGGACGAGGTAAACCTCTATATCTGCTTTGATCTTTCGATTTATCATCATAGTTACTGAGACAGCGAGTAAGTTTTATATGCATAAACCTCTGTAACTGAAATAACATTGTTTGTTTACTCATTCTTATTCTACCCACATATTCCACACTTAATTCCAAGTCTACCTCTATTAATGGAACCCTCTGTAAATGAGACAGATGTTTATTTAGCCTGTATATCTGAGACACTAGGTAAGTGGAATACCTCTATAAGTGAAACGACATTGCAGCATCTCACTTAACCAGGTTTCACTACACTACTTGTCTCTCAACCCAAAACAGAAACAGTTTTCCCTGGCCTCCTAGTCCTAATCATCTTTGTTTTTTTTCGTCGTCACCAACTTTATTGTTATGACAATAAGAAAAACTCCGTTGTTTTAGCGACTAGATCATTGTAATATCGAACTTAATAATCTTGATATATAGAGATGTTTCAAGACTACACAGTCGTTCGAGAACAAGACAGTCATGTCACTCTTTCTTCTTCTCGATCGCTTGCTTCATTTCTGAAGGTTGTGCCCCTGAAAGGCTTTCATTGCTCTCTGTGTTATTTCCCTCCATCTTGTCCTGTTTTCGGCTTCTCTCAGGGCTTTCGTAACAGAGAGTCCAGTGTAATTGGTAACTTGGTCACGCCATCGGCTAGGTGATCGGCCACGTGGTCTTTTCGTTCCACCTTACCAACAACAACCAATTTGTCGAGGTTATGTGACTGGCGGTGGCAATGTGATCGAAATATCCAAGAATTCGCTGGTAACATACGGTAGACAGTCTTTATATTGAGCTGTTCCAGGATTGACTTATTTGTTCGTCTGGCAGTCCATGGTATCCGGAGCATTCTTCGCCAACACCACATGTTACTCTTTTTGCGTTCATTAAAATTAGAAAATATTTTATCCAGTCATGATCGTCCCAATGCAGGGCAAAGGCCTCCCTACCCTTCTCCCACATGTCGCGGAGAACCTAACGGGTTACCGGGGCTCCGGCTCGAAGTGCAGAAGGAACGGGGTGGTTTTTAGTCAGTAAGAATCTGACACTCCCTCCCGCCTCACCCAGGCGGGAGCAGTCATTCGATGATTTTCTCCCCTTAAAAAACCGCTCTCCCACTCCTCACTATGTAAAACTTCACATTATTAGTAAATAGGTATATTTTTTATTTACATGTCTAGGTTACAGACTAAATTCTGACAATTAATTCTAGGTACCTACGTGTACATGGTAAACACATCATCAGACTATGGCTGGGTGCAGTGTTCGGGAACCAACTCCGTGGGACGGCAGACGAAGCCGTGTCTCTTTCATATATTACCAGCAGGTAAGTTATATGACATTCCTAGAAGGGGTACGCAGAGTTTCACTTATTGAGAAATTGGAGTTGCATTTATTTGTTGGAGAGCCATGCTTCGGCAGGACTGGCCCAGGTCGACCGGAGTGATACCACGGCCTCACAGAAAATGATATGCCTAATTTTTCGTTTTAATAATTCCTAATATTGGAAGAGAAGGCGATAATGTGATAGTTTTAAACTTCGTAATATTTAAGAAAATTATAAAAATCAAGAAGCTCAATAATACTTAATTATTGAATATTTCTGAAACTGGTATCAAACCTAGCTCTTATTTTCATTTCATCAGATACTAACTTCATTAGACTTGCATTAGATACTTTTTTTATTTCACAGAACTTTAACACTTATCATCTTCTATACAGATAAGCCGTCGACACCAAAATCCTGTGAGATTACCAACGTGACATACGACTCTTTGACCCTGAACTGCACACCAGGACATGATGGCGGGATCCACCAGTCATTCTTATTAGAAGTAAGTCGTAATAACTTAATGGTAATAATTTAGTGATTATGTGTAGCTATCATAATCAATCATGAACCACTTAAAACTGGTATTCAATATCAGTAGGTATGAAAAATATTATTGCCAATTCGACTGCACGCTTAATATATCTATCGTTGAAAGTATTTGTTTCTGAAAGAAACTAAAAAATACGTGTGTAATGATTTAAAATAATCTACCAGACGGACATTAAAATAAAAATTACGCATCAACCCTATTGATTGATCATAGAACCACTCGATCAAACCAATAACAAAACCAAAGAAAGCTGTAAAACTAAACAAGAAAAACAAAAAACGAAACAAAACCACTAATATCATTTGTCTTTACTCTCACACAGTAAAGAAACACGATCATAAAGCATTTTATGTCGTTCGAGATTTATTTGTTTTAGAACTAAGTGACAGTAATAAGACATATCGATTCCAAATGATATATTTATACTTAACTCTAAGAAACCTAACAAAAGATAAACTATATTTCTTTCAGAAAAGATACCGTGCTCACTTTTATCTTTTGACAATAAAATTCATAAAAGATATCATAATTTCAATTTGCTTTCTAAGAATTTCTTTGTATGTAGAATCAAAGCAACAAATGATAATTTGTAGACAATGTTGTTTGTCTATTTTAAATGGAACTGGCTTTCTATAAATAATAAAGAGACGTCTTAGAAATATTTGTTTGAGTGTAATTTTAACCCAAAATTAGAATCAGTTATGGCAAATTACCTGACTTTTGAGCGAGCACAATTTTACAATAAAATAACGTCATGTACCTATAAGAGAACTACACTCTTTTAGTAAATTCAATACCCATACTCATGTTGTGGTGGCCCGGAGATTTAAGACGCACGCTGCTCACGCATGAGGGCGCGGGTTCGCAACCTACCAACAGCAAGTACTAATGTGACTTTTCCGAGTTATATGTATGTACTTTCTAAGCTTATTCAGACACCACTGACAAACGGTGAAGGAAAACATCGTGCGGAAACCTGGGCTTATAATTTGTAATTAACATAACATAACGTAACATCACGCCTTTTATCCCCGAAGGGGTAAGCAGAGGTGCACATTATGCCGCTGTACAATGTAACACCCACTTTTCACTATTTATGTTATGAGTCCCATGTAATAGGAGGTAAGCCTATTGCCACATACCGGGCATAATTTCAGACTACGTGCTACTACTGAGATTTTTTTTAAACCCAGTAATACTTTACCCGACCAGGGAATCGAACCCGAGACCCCTCGCCCGGCAGTCGCACTTGCGACCACTCGCCAACCGGCATTGAGCAAGCCTGGTGATTCATGCTCAAACCTTCTCCGTGTGAGAAGAGGTCTTTGGTTAGCAGTGGCCACTTATAGGCTGCTGGTGTGAAAACTGAAGAGCTTCGCATCAAGCTTTCTTGTGCGTACTGCTAAGGAGTGGAATTCTTTGCCAGAGTCTGTATTTCCTGGAGGGTATAACATGGGTGTCTTCAAAGCCCGAGTGAATAGGTTGCTTATGGGACGACGTGCTCCATCGTAGACCGCGTCATCGCTCACCACCAGACGAGATAGTGGTCAGCCCATGAAACATAAAAAATTTAGTCTATAGACTTGTGCCAGTTGAGGTTCCAACCAAGCGGATAATTAATTAAAAATCGCGGGTTACTCACGTGAATATACTGAGAAAAGCTCTACTAGTTTCGAACCACAGAGGGGTTCTTCCTCATGAGCAGCTTGCGCGGATAGTAGGCTGCGCGACATCGCCGCGACTGCGCAAGACTCACGTGAGTAGCCCACGATTTTTAGTTAATTTAGTATGTCTCACGATAGTTATTATAAAAACAAGCGGATAATATTTACTGCTCAAATTAATATACTTACTAAAAAAAACATCAAAACATCACGGTTTTATTGTCTTCTGTCTAAGAAGGCAGAAGTAAGATTAACTCCTACATTATATCTAATGTTATTTGAACCCTTTACTTTAACTGATAAAGTCTCTTTTTCAACCAGATCTTCGACATGGCAACAGGGTTGCTTCTCCGAAATGTAAGCAGTGATGACCCAGAGTTTGAAGTGGCAGGGTTGTCAGCGAGCAATTCTCTAGCAGTGTCCGTCAGAGCATTCAACAAGAAAGGATATAGTGAAGCGTTAACCTTAACTTCTAGTTTGCTGAAATACCCTCAACGGCATACAGGTATGAATTTAAACTGTCAAACACCAAGCGGTCACCGGTGACCGCAACCTATTGTTCTATAATTGTGTCTATAATGACGGTACTCGACGAGTTAATATGTAAAGTAAATCCTATTTTTAAATGAAAATAATCCTTCTACGTTTACCATCGTGGAACGTGGGACAATTTATATTACATAACATCACGCCTTTTATCCCCGAAGGGGTAGGCAGAGGTATACATTAAGCCACTGTACAATGTAAAACCTACTTTTCACTATTTATGTTATGAGTCCCATGTAATAGGGGGTGAGCCTATTGCCATATACCGGGCATAATTCCAGACTCCGTGCTACTACTGTGAATTTATAAAAAACCCAGTAGTAGGTACTTTGCGCGACCCGGGTATCGAACCCGAGACTCCTTGCCCGGCAGTCGCACTTGCGACCACTCGGCCAACGAGGGAGTCATATTATTAATCTATATAATTTAAGGGCTCGAGTGGGATGCCATAGTCTCAAAAGTATTATCGTTAATACTAGAATGAAGTCTGAGATTTCAAGTCTGTGTTACTACTGAACATTTTTAAAGCAGCGAAAATTACTTAATAATTATTTGCAAAACCCAGAATTTAACCTGAGACCCTTGCTCAGCAGTTATACGTGTGTTCAATCAACGAGGCAATCTTTTAATCTTATACTTAATTTCTTATCAATTGTATTTAAAAAAAAAAAACAAAGTTCTCTTTGAATGTCAATTCGCAACCCAAAAACAAGGAGTATAAAGTCCATAGTTGTTGCAGCTCAAGTGCCTGTGAAGGTGGAACTAACAACAGTGTTGATCATCGTGCTGGGAGCTGTTGGAGTCATCGCCGCCATGACAGCTGTGCTAGCTATTGTGTTCTGCTGCAAATACTGTAATAAACGAGAGAGTAAGTTGTAGTTTTTTATTAACCTATATACCAGGTGTAGTTTTGAAGCCGTGTCATTTCTCGGGGGCATGTCACAGAAGTCATAAAGGTTCAATGTAAGAGAAAGTTTCGGGCCAATACTTAAAAATACGGCTATAATAAATCGTTTTAGTTCGACAGTATTTCAGAATAAGCGACAGCAATGCGGATTGCGCACTTACGGATTTCCGTAATTTACAAAAAAATTAAAAATATTTACCTACATTTTTTTTTATTGATTCGGACTGCCCAGTTACCTCCTAGAAAATGACGCGGCTTTAAAACAACACCTTGTATGTAATGATTTTATTTTGAAAGAAATGAATACGCGGCGTTAACGCCACAGTAAATCAGCGTATTTATTTACTCTTGAACTGACGTCGCGACCACATTGCGCCCGCACGGCGTCTGCGCGGCGTATACGTTTATCGAACGCCTACGCTAGACAAACGCTCGACAAGGGCTCTAAATAAAACCCACTTAATCAAGAATTAATCAAGAAATAAAATGCTATCTCTTTTGTTTTAGGGAAAAATGAAAAGGACAAAAGACAACAAGATGAAACCTCAAATATACCGTTAACAGGAACCAAGGAGTCGGAAAGCGTTGATAGTCTTGGTAAGTTATTTATTTTGAAACTGCTTAAGAAAGGTAAAGTTTATCTTGTTTTTAACTGACAGTTGAAATGAATATATGTTTGTGCGCGATTATCTCGCGACTGGCTGAACCGATTATGATGCGGTTTTCAATAAAGTGTTCGTTACACGTAGGAGAATGTTTTAGTATATTATTATTAACTAACTGACTTCAAAAAAGAGTGGGTAGAAGTCCGATTGTTTAAACGTAGTTCATATTTTTATTTTAATCCTGAACTTATATTCTATTGTTTTCTCTTTCTCTTAACTCTTATTTAAAATTTCAAGAACCGTAAGGGCTCGTACACAAAACTGCGATGCGACGTCGCATCGCAAGAACTTGCGAATTAATTTGCATCGCGCATCAAAATCTTATCTTCCCAAAACCTTCTTTGTTTCTTTTTCCTGTATCTCCTAAGCAATAACAGAAATGCACACAGTTCTTTTTACGATCCATGTCACGATCTAGTTTTCAATTTAAAATACGTTTAGTACGGTTGACGGTCGTCGAAGGAATGATCACCCTGGGAGACGCCTTGTCGCACGAAATCGCATCGCAGCAATTCGCATCGTAATTTTCTGCGTTGCGAATTCGCATCGCATCGCATCGCAGTTTTGTGTAAGAGCCCTAAACCCCAATTATACTTTGCCTGTTCCAAAAATCAGACCAGCAAACTCTTCCCTCACTCGACACGACAGACACTTGAAAATATTTGACCCCGGTTATCTCTTTCTCGCTCTCTCCACCTTACATTCTCACTTTATAACTTGCTTTACCTACAAAAACATCTCTAACACACAGCAGTAAGGCAGCTTACTCCGTGAGTATCATATCTCATACCTCAGGCGCAATCCAAAGCTTAGAGAAGTCACAATACTAGATATACCACTGAGCGGACGGTACACTGTAACTTATACTCACTAACTTTATTAACATTTACAGTAGATCAGGTGGAGATTGAACTGGCTTGTAGATTTTCGATTCTAATAAACAAACAAGCGAAGATTAAGAGAAGAAAGATTCATAAGCTTTTCTCATGGGACTGTCACCGCAGAGCGTACTCTTCTACGATTATAAAACGCTGTTAAAGATGATAATTTTATAATAAAAAATCACTGATACATATCACACTAATATTATAAATGTAATACTTTCTTTATTTGGATGTTTATCCGTCGATTAAGCTGAAACTACTGAACGGGTTTTGATGAAATTGGGTATACAGGCAGGGTATGGGCTAACTTAGGTGATAGGATTTATCCCGATTAAATACTCCTATGGTATAAAATGGGAATCATAGACGAAATCGCGGATAACAGCCAGTTATTTATAAATAAATAATTAAACAACTTACGTAAATAGTACTTTGATTAAAAACCATTACCAAGACCATTTGCTATTTAAAAATAATCTACAAAAACCGTAGTTCCACTATAAGTTACAGTGTCACATCCACAATAAGCACACACCTAAACCTGTACATATATTATACAGGTACATACTCAGGCTAAACTATAAGCCGGCCTGACCATACTAAGACCGCTTGAGAGCAAACGGTCAAAAGCAAGACAAATGAATTACTACCGGAATACGCATATTGTCTTGAATGTTTCATTAGATTTACTCGGATTCTATCCTTTGAACTAGACCTTTCTAGAAAGGGTTGTCTAGTTGTGGAACTAGGGTTTTTTGTAATAAACCCTGATTAGTTTTGCCCATAAAGAAGACCTTTTTTGGATGCAAATTAATGAATACTGGTCCAATAATGCACTAATCGGACAGTTAAAACGCAAATTCATATGAAAATGGGTACATTTTTTGATAAATAATAATTTAGATTGAAGAGTTTATAACCCGCTGCCCCTACAATTAATACATCAAATACCCCTTGCATAACAACGACATATAAAATGGGGATGATGGCAGGGTATGAAAATTAAAAATATATTTAGTCCGTAAGTTAGGTAGGTAAATAAAAAATATTAGACACGTATTTTTTATTTTGTCCTATAATAAAACAATACTTAGATAAAACGAATCAAAGTTTAGGAGTGGGGGCTAAAACTAAAAACTCATTTCTTAGTATTAAATGTACTGAGAAGTGAGGTTACGCGACATTTCAAATCAATATATTTTCGAAACTATTCGTTTCCGTAAGAAAATTAAAAATACGTGTCTAATGTTTTTAAATAAATAATCTACCAGACGGGCATTAAAATAAAAATTAGTTGTCTATCCTATTACACAAAATTAAACATCTTACCGCTAGTTTTCGATGCCAAAAAAACTAGAACAAACACTTCTACAAAATAAATATCTTCAAGCAAAAACAACACACCACTAAAGCAGACTTTATGATCTTTCTTCCAGATAAAAATCCAGACATCATACCCCTAGACGGAAAAATCAGCGACAGCTGCTCAAATAAATCTTCTACAACCGACTACAGCTCAATAAGACCACTCATATCAAAAACTACGGACAAATATGATTTGTCCACAAATTGCGATCGATTCTATGATCATAACATTGATCCTTGCAACCAATACATACAAGTGCGTCCCATGGAATATAGACGACCAACATATGCGCCAACTTTGCAAATGCCCAATCTTGGGCCGAGTATACAAAGTTTGGGACCAATGAGCAGCTTGCATATGCCAAATGTTGGACCCAACGATTGCCACAGACAGCCTTATGATAAGGTTTACGAAGATTGGTTGAAGTATAAGAATGCTTTGCCGTTGAATACCAGTGGGTTGGTGAGTATGAAATAATGGATTTAGCAATTTATGTAGATTAAATTAGAATAGTCCGCCTCGTTGACGGAGTGGTCCCAAGTAAGAGTGCTGGCCAAGGAGATACTACGACCTTCAATCCTCCAATAAAAGAGCGTATTCCTTTTTTAAAGGCCAGCAACGCACCTGTGACTCCTCTGGTATTGTAGGTGTCTGTGGGCAGCGCTGATCGCTTACCATCAGATGATCCGTCTGCTCGATAGCCTCCTATTCTATAAAAAATGCACTGAGTCTGGAATTGTTGTGGTATTATGGCAATAGACTCACCCCCTATTACATGGGATTCATAACATAAATTGTGAAAAGTGGGTGTCACATTGTAAAGTGCCATTAAGTGCCGTAATGTGCACCTCTGCCTATCCCTTCGGGGATTAAAAGCGTGATGTTAGATTAGAACTAATGTCACGCTTAAGACGCCCGCTTCTCATACCTTCAAGTACCAACGTGACTTTTTCCAAGTTATATGTACTTTCTAAAATTATTTAGACACCACTGCCAAACGGTGAAGCAAAACATCGTGAAGAAAACTGGGCTTATAATTTTTAATTATAAGTTTGAAATCGCCAATTTGCATTGAGCAAGCGAAGTGATGAATGCAGACCTTCTCCATGTGAGAGGCCTTTGGTCAGTACCAACTCATATTAATTCCTCAATTCTGAATTTCATCAGTTATGTTATTTGTACTACCACTATAATGGACAGCAGAACTATTGCCATCCGCCGGTAGGTCATCAAACCTTAACATATAGGTTAAGCGTAAATCTCAACATTACTTTTTGATTTACTAATTCTTAAGATCCCGTTATTCGATTAAAACACAAGAAACATCACTCACCCAAACCACGCTATCCCAAGTCCAAGACAAAATATAACCTTTACAATTCCATTCCAGCTACCAGCAGAACAGCTATTACCACCAGAATTATACGCCACGCCACCTCCACCGTCTCTCTACAGCAACCCAAACAGAAACCCTTTAAACCTGACTCAAATGCCTGAGTTAGAACCTAGATACCACTTAGAGCCTAGGTCTCTAGCCATGGACTCCAGGAGTTGTTCCAGCTCGCCGCCTGTGAGATTCAACCCTGAGAATAATAGCGTATACTTCAGTAAAGGCGTGCTGGACAGAACTACCAATACGCTGCCACATTTGAAACCTACTAGGATTAATGGTGAGTATAATTAGGTAATTTCCAGGGTTTTATTAACAAACTAATTAGTCCGTCAGATAGATAATAAAAAATATTAGACACGTATTTTTTTTTATTATCGTATTACGTTTGCAATACTTAGATAAAATGGCGCTAAGTTTAGGAGAGGGGGGTTGTTACGTCATAACGTGCTACATAATGTGGCACGCTGTGACGTCACACGATATTTCAAATTAATATATCGTCGAAAGCATTTAATTTTGTGAGAAAGGAAAAGATGACAGACGGACATTAAAATAAAATTTAGGAAACTACACTATTAGACGTTATTGTCACGAAGTAAAATGGTTCTGTCTTGGTAATACAATAGTTTTACGCCTAGCTTCACTGACAAACAGACTGACAGACTATTATCACTATCACTACATAGTATAAAATAAAGTCGCTATCTGCCGTCCGTCTGTCTGTCCTATATATGCTAAGATCTTTAAAACTACGCAACGGATTTTGATGCGGTTTTTTTAATAGACAGAGTGATTGTAAAGGAAGGTTTATGTGTATAATATATGTATATTGCACCCATGCGAAGCCGGGGCGGGTTGCTAGTATATGTTATATATGTTAACGTTTCAAAAGTACCAAATTATGGTTTAATTATATTTACATTGCCGGAGTCTATGTTTCCCGTCAAATATGACTTAGGTGCCTTCAAGTCCCGAGTGAACAGGTTGCTCCATCGTCGGCCACATCATCGTTTACCATCAGGCTAGATGGTGGCCAAACGTAGACCTATTAAGTATAAAAAATAAAAAAAGGCTTTTGAGTTTTGAGTTTTTTTTGACAAAGAAATAAAACAATTTATTATGTTTTCGGCTTACTCAAGTTGTAATTCGACGAGGAACTCGACTAGAATTACAACGTGAAGAAGCCGAAAACATAATATTTTATTTAGTATGTCTCACGAAAGTTACAATACAAAGAAATAAAACGTTTAAAACTAGAAATAACTAGTGAACCATTGCATAAAACAAACTTCGAAAACGCTCACGAAGTCATAGTACATTATTAAAACATCACGCCATATTGTTCACTAGTAATTTTCTTATAATATTTATTAAGTCTAATTGATATTGAAGTCTAGTTAAAAAAGTAATTAGTACTATAATATGATATTATCTTCGTTTCTTGTAAAAGGTACTTACACTAGCCTTTAGTACCTGCTTCTTTAATGAACTATTCCTTTTGAACGCTAGGGACTACTTAGATCCGTAATCTCTACTACTATTTTATTTAAGAAAAGTAGGGACTTAAAAGTAATTAATTTCAGTAGATTGATAAAAAATTTAATTAAAAACTGATGTTTTTAAAAGGCTTTATAACGTGGAAGAGACATGCTTCGGCACGAATGGGCCGGCTCGACCGGAGTGATACCACGACCGAACAGAATACCGACGTGAAACAACGCTTGCGTTGTGTTTCGTCGTGTGAGTGAGGTTACTAGAGGCCCAATTACCCTCCCCTTCCCCAATCCCAGAATCCTCCACAATCCTCAAATTCCCAATCCCCAAAAGGCCGGTAACGCACTTGTAGCGCCACTGGTGTTTGTGGTGTCCATTGGCGACGCTGATTGCTTACCATCAGGTTATCCGTCTCTTCGTTTACCGGCTTATTCCATAAAAAACCTAATGATCCTCTATCGAGCCCAATCGGATTGACTTTGTGAATCTTGAATACGACCAAAAATAATGTTTATTGTTAATCCTATTGTTATACGCGACTTACTTTGTAAATTAATAGTTATTTTTATTATTTTTTTCTTAAGTAGTTTTTAAGTTGTATAGTTTTAAATGTAAATGTCATATCTTTAGCAATAAAGATTCAAACGAAGACAGATATCGAACTCCAAACAATAATAATTTAGCTACATTCTGATAACATCAGACCCAGAAAATACCTCGTCCACTGGAAAACAAACAAAAAGTACAGTCACCAATAAAATACAGATACCACTTGGCAATGTTGTATAACACTCGAAATTTTCCAGTGCCACAGTAATTGCCCTGCGGTTTCACATTAATTAAATTCAGTAAACAAAACTGTCCAACAATCCTATATAATCATATTATTATATTCAGACTCATGGAAAGATAAATTGTCCCCGTTTTCATTGTAAAAATGGTTGTTTTAATAAGTAGTCTGAATTATGGAATAAAGTAGGCACTCAAAATAAGAAATGGTCGTGACAATTCCTTATACTTGATATTTATATAGCGTTGAATTAATTATGTCTATGTTTTAGTAAAAAGAAACTAATTTCGTTATAATTAGGTTTGATATTGTCTTGTTTCATGTAATGGTTTGGGTGGTACTGTGAATTGGCTAGAATTACGAACTGTTATTTAGAATTTAGTTGAAACACTGTTGTAGCTAAATGTTGGGTTGACTTTTTGTTCATCTCTATGTAGGAGTAACGTGGATAGTATTTAATTTATTTGCCTCTCCAATTTGATTCGATTTTGAGTTTCGAAAATAAATACTCAACCATCATTATATAATTAAAAGTCACTGTAATTATGCATTTATGCAACAATTCATGAAATTCCCAACGAAGTTATGATAACACCCAAACATTGTCGTTCTCAGACGAAACTTTTTCACGCCAAACAACATCAAACAACGTTTTAAAAACAAACATTTTCTTTTCGCAGGAAACTCCCCAACACAGCTGCAGAGTGATCCAAAAACTGTCACAAAATCCACGGACACTTCGCTAGAACCAGTAAAAATGGCGAAAGAGTGTGAATGAGACAAAAAGTACTAGAAAGGACTGTAGATCCTTTCAAATACTTCACAAAAATATGGACAAAGTGAATCAAGTGTGGACTAGGTGAAATGGCCTCGTGTTAAGGCCAATGGCCTAGGAATTATTGGCCTGTGTGCGTTTTAAAGATGTTGAGTGTACTTTAATGTGTGATAAACAGTCTTCAAAATCGTTTTTGGACCTTTGGACCCGTCCGTTGTGATTTTATTATTGATTTTCTACTAAAAAACGTGATTTCTGTTTTTTAAAATTGATTTATACAAATTGTTAATGTTTCAATAAAATTATTTAATAATTTCTTGCCAAAATTAATTTATTATAACGCCAATAAAATTCGACATAATAATGTGTAAAATAGATTATTTCTATTATTTGATTATATGTATTAGAATGAACGATAATGTCAATTTGATAGAACGAAACAAATGTTTAGATTGTAAAATAGTTTTGCATCTTTTCACAAGATGTGTAAGACTGAATTTGTGTAGCAATTACACATGTTTAGATAAAACAATTCTTTGATTACATTATTGTAATTAATTAACTAAGATAAAAAATAATTACCGCGCAAAAAATTATTATCATACTTATGAAATAATAATTCGTTTGCAAAATTGGAAAATATTAATGAATCAGTGTTTGTTTTTAATAATAATACGATTATTTAAAAGGAGATTAGTTAAACAAAATATAAATAAGTACGTTGTGAATGTATATAGTGTAAATATTTAAGTATGTTATACGAAAAGTTGCCATACTAGTTAAATAGTTATTAAAACATGTATCTAAAAATAAATTAATATTGTCACAAAATCGAGCTTTTATGTTATGAATGATAATTTAATTTTGTTAGCGAAAGGGATGGCAAAATGTATGGAGAAGATTTTTCCGAAAAATATACGAAAATTAGAGAAGCAACACTTGAAAAGTGGAGATGTTAAAAATATCGTATTGCATGTTAATCTACGGATTTGTTATTTTAAAAAAGATTTCGGAATATTGAAAGCTTACTCGTGGTGGGACAAGCGATGTTGTTTAAATGTAAATTATATAAAATATTACATAAATATAAATAAATAATTAATGTGATAACAAAATGATTCAAGGATAAAACATCTCAGTTCACGTTGGAATTTTAAATAAATTTTCTCTTTTTAAAGTTTCCCTATTTGGCCTAAAATTATTAATAATTTATTAGTTAAATAATTCATGATTCTTTATCCGTTTTATATTTATTGCCATTATATTACATAAATACAATTTTCAATTACATTTGAAATGAATGCCGTAATTTTGTAATAGAATTGTAAATCGTGTCTTTCATTACCGAAATTTTAAATTAAAAAAGATGAAATGTTTTATAATATAAATGGAAAAAGTTTGAAAATTATACAAGATATTCATTGTTTAAAAACTTCGTGGACTGAGCACTGAGAATTAATATTAATTTTTATTTTAAATAATTAAAATAGTTCATTTTCTTTTTTAAAAGTGTTTGATTCAGACCAAAATTTAACTCGAAATAGATTTTTATTATTAGAATATTATTTTTAATGTAAAAATAGTACCATGACTTAGATTTCATAGATATTGGTTTAAGGTACAGTCGCTACAAAAATAGTTAAGTTACCATGAAACAAAAATTTTGAATTAATAACATTTTTTTTTTGTTTTAGAGACGATTTTTTATTAATGATAAAAATAATAACTTTACTAATAAATGCTTAACTATTTATTATTTATGAATGTTACATTGTTAGCGACTGCACCTTGCTTTAAGTATTAATTTCTTTTATAATTTTTGTATGATAATTTATATAAGCATTTTGTAAAAACAAAACAAATTTTTAAGTAATTATTTCGTTTTTTTGTGATGTAAAATTTCCTTGGAAATAATAAATGTGAATTTATAACACTTAATGGTTTTATTTCACAAATTTTTCCCGGCCTATTCATTTGGGACGAGCATTGAATCCGCAAATACTGTTAATTTACTTGAAATATTACTGTTTTCAACGACTCGTTGAGTTTTCGCATTTCCACAATCTTTCTACGATCTTTCTTTTTTTTTGGTGGGATGGAACACATATAGAAATATTTTAACACGTATACACAAAATTACTTATAGAGACATCTGGCGTCAAAATTTTAGACTAACTCTTTGAGCACAGGTATCCTGCATAGATACCGAACTACTAATTGCCATTTATTTACATTTATATTGCATTTTTATACTAAAATTCTTACTTAATTTAACAAAACACGAAACAATTATGTTCTACATTGCACATCCATTAAGTCATCAACATTTTAAACACAAACAAATAACACCAAGAGTACACAAATGTTGTCGTTGACTGTACCCAAAAGCTACTGGACCGCAAAATCCCATAGCAATGTCAAACAATATTGTTTGTTTTCCCCATAACGTGACATGGAAACTTGACAACATAAATATTATGACTTCGCCTGGATTAGAACCGTATTTTTGTCAACATAGGAAAGAACACGCGTAACAGAAATTGTTGTGTTTGTGTAGATAAATATCCTATTTTTCCAAAACATGATTTAAAACTTAAGGTGCTTAAATTTTTACTTTTTTTATGTGAGTAGAAGACATATGTCGCCATACATTTTTTTTTTTGAGGGGGGATAATCATCCTATGACTTGTCCCGCCCGGGTGAAGCGAGAGGGAGTGTCAGTCTTACCGACTAAAAACCACCACGTTCCTTCTCCTGCACTTCGAGCCGGAGCTTCGGCAACCTTTTAAGCCCTTCGCGGCTTCGTATCGACATCAGCCCTATGGGGCTTCATCCGTAGTGGTCTGATGGCTCCTTGAGGCGCGCCCTGAACGCGACGCGCCGTACGCTCGGGTCTGGTTCTAGTCGGACAGCGAGCTACCTGTATTCGCTGTGTGCAGAGCCATGCTTGCGGTCCTGCTCTTCTTATGGCTATTGTTAAATTTGGTTTTGAGACCTGGGCGCTTACTCTTGAAACCAATCTCAATTTCAATGCAATTTCAATCCAATAAAATCTCAATAATTATTCGATGTCAACATTATACAACCACAATCGTAGCTGTTAAAATAGCATTCAGAGTATGGAAGATAAAGCCCAACTCAATACCATTTAGTTCATTAAATATCCACGCAATACGGATGCAATGGGCGCTAGTTTTGGAACTTAAGAGTACGAAATTTCACAATACGAATGTCGATCGATCGGAATTGGATTCAAGAGTAAGCAGCTGGTAAGCATCGTTCTCTGGTACACCCGAACCTTTTAACCTACGACATCACCTGGACCTGGAGATTATGGCAAACTTAGGTTCTATTTGGAGATACATTGACACATTTTATGCGCCGAAGGGCTGTAAATGAAACGCAACCGAAATGACCTACAATTTTTACGATTTTAGTCGTTTTTGTTCTCAATTGCATCGATTGATCGATATGCAACCATAAAAAAAAAACATTTAATTTGACGGTTGGTGCGGTGGCTGGGCTACCGGCTGCCGTGCTACGGTGTCACGGGTTCGATTCCCCCACGAAGCAACTCTTTGTGTCATCCAGGAATAGTTGTTTCGGATCTTGGTGTCATGTGTATGTGAAATTATATGTTTGTAAACGCACCCACGATAGGAGAAAATCCTAGTAAGTAGGTAGTAGTAAAAAGTGGAGAGGCATCGTTTGTAAAAAAAAATGAATTTTCTAAAACTAAAACTCGTTCTTTACTATCCTGAGTTTTTTGGGAGGATTCCATTTATACCCACTGCAACACTCACTTTCACCAGTTGTGTTATGATTATCTTAATAGGGCCGAATTTATGGCCAAAAAACTGCATCAACTTACTAAATCTCCATCGATTATCCTCAATAAAAGTTACAATAAATCAAAGATAACATTAAGGATAAAGATTGAAGGCAATTTGACCCCAATTTACACCACACCACATAATAATAAAAACGTTTACGAAATTATAACTATATTTTAATAAAATTGCTCCAATTTCGGCGCGAAATACCGCCGCCATTTTGGAAATTGCAACGCAGTTATTGCTACTCGAAATATTGTGATGGAATTTTTTTGTTTTTTCCTGTCAATAAAAATATTGTTCGATTTATTTGTTATACTATAATGGATTTCATAACCAACTTGATCTTCCTACCTGTTTACATGTTTCCTTTTTGTCTCCGGTTTTAATAATGCGTGTTATAAAAGATATTCCTATAGAAAAAGGACAGGTAACGCAGGCGCAGTGGTCACGTGCCACCGTGCATAGCGAGGCTTAGGGAAAATGCGTATTTTTTTATGGCATAAGCCGGTAACGAGCATATGGATCACATGATGATAAGCAATCGGCGTCGCCCATGGACACCTGGAACCCCAGAGGCGTTACAAGTACGTTACCGGCCTTTTGGGGATTTCCTTTGTTACCTATGTGCCGTCACAGGCGTTTCACCGGCGGATTCCGGAGCAGGTCTATTATAGAGCATTGTCGCGGAGAACCTAACGGGTAACCGGGGCTCCGAATCGACGTGCAGGAGAAGGAACAGGGTGGTTTTTAGTTAGTAAGAGTCTGACACTCCCTCCCGCCTCACCCAGGCGGGAGCAGTCATTCGATGATTTTCCCCCTTAAAAAAAAAATATATATAGAGGACTCGATGCATAGGCGATGATGGTAGCCACCGGAGTGGTTTTACTGAGGTAAAAATCCCACATTCCCTAGTTTTCTATCCCTAAAAAACTTAGGCGCCTTTTGAAGGTTTCCCCCCGTCATAAAAAAAGGGACGCAAAAAAAAACTTCAAGCAAAAAGTTGCATCGTAATCGTTCATCGTCAGCACATCAGTCGCAAGACGTCAGACTGCTATAGGTACGTAAGCGCCCCAATCACAGATCAACGATCTGCAACCAGCAGGATACATAATCAGAAGAGAAACAAGTACTGGATATAAGAACACTTAATAGCAAAGAACGGAACCACTAGCGTTGTTTTTTCATTTTAAACTGTCAAACACCAAGCGGTCACCGGTGACCGCAATCTATTGTTCTATAATTGTGTTTACAAAACCGGTATTCGACGAGTTAATCGAACCCTTTATAACTTCAAATAATTTTCATATATACTTTAAAACTATACTGCTGAGCAAAGCCTCTTGTCACACGTAGAAGGTTTGAGCATTAATCACCATGCTTGCTCAATGCGGATTGGTGATTACAAACTTATAATTAGAAATTATAAACCCAGGTTTTCTC